TTCCACCTCAACAGGACCCTGCCCCTGCTCAGCTGTCCTTCTGCAAAATGGCTGTGACTTTTCCCACTCTGTGAAGCATTGTGAACACATTCTTTCGACTTTGAATCTTTCAGACTAGCAATAATTCAGAAGAGAAGATTATAGTCATAGGTAAAAATTAACCTCCTGTAAGGAAGCCGGTCTAGGCCAGGGGAAGCTCAGGTGACTCACTTGCTTCTGGGTTTTTCAACAGTAGAATAGTCTCCTTCCTGAGGTCATGTAAACTCTAGGTCCTTCATGCTTCAGTTACAGGTTGCATACTGAGTTACACATTGAGATTTTTGTCTTCCATCCTCTCAGTTAGACTTACTAGCAAGCATTAGAAAATAATAAACATAGGTTCCTTAGAACAGGATTCATTCTAAAACTAGAAATTATCTTTCAAAGACAAGGTAAAATTTTTGGTGTGGAGTAAACTGGATTATTCAATGTCAAGAAAAGTGCCCGATGATGCATTTCTTATTTGCAGTAGAAAGAAGTAAACAGGCCACTGTCAGTAACTCATTTCAATAACTAAACAGAGATCCCTGAATCCAAGATGTACCAATGACCTCCCTCTCTGATTCCTAAGGCATCATATGAAACTATAGTTCAAAGAATGTTCCCTTCATTTCTAAACAATTATGCATACATGCCAGCCATTCCTACAACATATCAGAAAGCAGTGTTTAAATTATACTATAAATGTTTAGGGCTCTAAAATATATATGGATAAAGTATTTATTTATAGATCTAAAAGTATCAACTATTACTGCTTTGTCCTTATTCCTATTCCCCATGAGATGGCCAGCCACAAACTTTTAAAAGGAATTTGGCTTAAAAGATTTTGTGTGTTTGGCACTGACTGTGGGTGTTAATCATTTCTGAGCTCACTCCTTTTTCTCTTCTGTTTATAATATTCTTCAAGAACTTCAAAACAGAAACCTGCTCCCTTATAAATGCTGCTTCCTATGGGTACTGTGGAAATTAATTTGTCACTGGATTGTTGACTATAGTCTTCAGTTGATAGCACCAACCATTTCTATTTAATTTTTGTAGAAAAAAAATAAACATATCAACAATGTGCTGAGATTTTTCTCTTTGGGGGAGATGGAAAAATATGTTGAGAAACACTGACAAAACCAGAGAAAAATTAGAAAAATATAAAAAGTCATTAAATTTAAAAATAAAGGGGAAATAACTATTGTTAGGAACCAAATTCATTGAAAAAAGTAGACAAATGATATTTCTACCTCAAAGAGGTATTATAAATTGTACTTCAATAGATATTACTTTAAAAATGAAAGCAATAAATTGTACTCCAACAGATATTACTTTAAAAATGAAAGCAATTACTTTTAGATACAATTTTTAAGGAAGGCTATGTGTAATTAAGGCAACCTAAGATTTCAGTGAAGAGTCTTAAACTCCACTATCTGGTTTGTGGAATATTAGAGACTAATTGTTTATTCACGTTCCTTATTCACTGTTCCTCTTTGAAATATTTTACTTTTCTGCTGTTAGCACCTGTTTGGAGCCTATTTATGAGGGATAAAAAATGAACTGCCTCAACTTGGCAGCTTGTAATGTTCATGTTTGTGCCACAAACTAAGGTTTCTCTCCTTTGTCAGCAGATACTAGTGACAAAAGACAGGTGGGGGAAAGTTGTGCTACTTTACCCTTCTTATCATGAATCTTCCATCAAATCTAATCTGAATGAAGGCACTGAAACCTCACTTTTATAAAGTTTACCATTAAAACATCTTTCCAATAACTCTCCAGGAAAGATGATGGAAATAATCACAAGATCAATTTAGAGATATTATGAAAAGAAGTTGGAAGCTGCCGGGCTCAGTGGCTCATGCCTGTAATCCCAGCACTTTGGGAGGCCAAGTTGGGAGAATCCTCTGAGCCCAGGAGTTTGAGACCAGCCTGGGAAACATAGCAAGACCTTACCTCTACAAAAAAAGTTTAAAAAATTAGCCAGGTTTCATGGCACACACCTGTAGTCCCAGCTATTTGTGCTCCTACACTCCAGCCAGGTGACAGAGACCCCTGAACTCAGAAAAAAGAAAGAAAAAAGTTGGAAGTTTTAAGAATTTAAAATTTTTTATAAATATGTGATATAAATAAAATAAGTGCATATATATTTTATAATATTGAGATCACACTATTAATACAACTTTGTGTCTTTTGGCCTTGACACTGGCTAGTCCGTCTGCCTAAAACTCTTCTGGACACCTCCACATGGCTAGCAGCCTCAATCCTTCAAGCTCTTGCTTTAATAATGCCCTCATGGTGAGGCCTAATTGGGCTTATTCCACTTAAAAGCAAAATTCAGCCCCATTCTAGAGTTCTTAATGCCCTTGTCCTGGTCAACATTACTTTTGGCTATAGCTCTTATTATTTTCTAACATAATATATGATTCATTTATTTATTAAGTTTGCTTGTTATGTATTGTCTGTTGCCTTACCTCTCTCCCAACTACAATATAAGTTCTTTGAGGGCATATAAGTTGTATTCTGTCCGTGGATGATAATGCCTGGGACACAGTAGGTACTTAATAAATATTTGTTGCATTCATTAATTAACTATAAATTCTCTCTACATTAGATTGTATTGTCCATGCCTCTGAAAATTCTTTCAAGCATCATGCTTGGGTATGCCATAGTCTATGTAATCACTGCCAAAGAGTAGACAGCCCCATTGTTTCCAGCATTTGTTGTTATTATAAATAATGCTTTGATAATAAACACATTTGTACATAAGTTCATATACCTTTTATTATTCCCTCAGAATGTATCACTAGAACTAGAATTCCTGAAAAGTAGTTACATACAATTTTAGAAATTTTAGTACATATCACAAACTCACTTCCAAAAAGTTTATACCCTTTTACACTACCATTAGCAGCATGGGTGTCACTAACTACATCCTCACCAGTATTAAATATTACCTAAAATATCATCTTTAAACATCTGTTGTGCCAATTTTGGCATCTCAAAGTTTTAACTTGGGATTTGCAGATTTTGATGAAATTCTTTATGTAAATTATAGATCTCCGTGTGGAGTAAAAAGAAAGACAAAGATCGGAAAAGTCAATGGATTGGTCATTTCAAATCAAACAATATAAAACAGGTGATGATGGAGTATAGAAACACCCCTTTTCCTAACCATGGGCAATTGATGGATGAGATTGGGAAGCAATGTTCACTTTGGCTTAAACAATTACCTATTGAGTTTGTTCTTAGGAGACTAAACATGATTAGTGATAATATTCGTATTTGGTCCAGATGTGTCCTTTATATCAGGTTGAAGTTATTCCCCAAAATTGACCCATTTAGTCTGACAGCATTGCAAAAATGAGAATTAAGTGACTCAAGTGTATGCTCAACCTGATGTTAAAACCGGTTCTTTTATTCTCTCACACCAGTATACTTGTGTTTCTAATTCTCATCCACCTGACTGCAATACTAGTCCCCTTGGCACTAAACTGACTTCATTTGTGGTGTAATCCCTTCAGTCTTTAGGGAGGCTCAAATTAGAAACCAGGAGATAGATTTTCTGAAAATTTAGTCACAAAATTTACACTTCTCCATTTGTGAGACAAATCATGGGAAAATATGTGAGGTTCAAATTGGCAGAGAGCAATCAGTCTCTTCCTTTTTTCTATGGCAAAATACTGAATGAAAAACACTTATAACATTTTTGTAAATTTCCTTTTTATAGGGAAGAACAAAACAGTCCTTTAGTACTGTGCTGGGCACTTAACAGACATCATTTTGATTTCACAGTATTAAGAAGGAGATAATGTTATGCCTATTTTTTTTTTAAGAAAGTAGAATTTATTCAGAGGACAGAAAAGCTCCCACAACGGGAGGGGACCTGAAAGAGGTTGCCCAAACTATACCTATTTTATAGATGTGGGAACTGAAGCTTAAGGAGACTAAGGGACTCTCCAAGGTCGAGCCAGCAAACAATAAAACCTGTGCTTTTGTATTGCACTACTTGACTTGATTATAACTGCTATTCATTTAAGACCAGAATTCTGCAGCAGGGGTTAGTAACCAAAGATGAATGAGTAAATCACCCTGAAGGGCTTGGGCAGAGCTGTGCCTTGAGGAATGTTCTTACACTTGCCCTCCTCTTGCTCCTTAGGTATCTAATATTTTAGTAACTGCCAAGGTATTCACTGACCACCAGAATGTGCTTAATTTGTTACATCTACAGAAGATGCTCAAGAATGAAGGAATTAAGAGTCAAATAACTACCACTGGGATGGTGGAGGACAGGTCACAGGGATTCCTAAGGGAATCCCTCAGGGGTGGGGTGGGGAGTGAAGATGGAGAGGCCGAGAGAGGCAAAAGTTGGTGAGGTTCAGAGGAAGGAAGAATTTCTTGCCCTGGTATTTGTTCTTGCTGTTCTAGAAGTCCACTGTCTAGAGATTTAGTAAAGTTCTTCTCTAGGAAATCTCTAGAATGGAATTCCCCCTCTGAGCACCTACTTGGCTACACTGGATGTTCAAGTACTGAAGGATCTTTCTACCAGCTAGAAGTAACCTCTCCCTAGGACCCCTCCACCAGGTAGCTCTCTCCACTCACTCCCTGAGTCCTCCCCTACCCACCTGTGTCTCCATCACACTCCAGAACACAACCCCACACCTAGCACAGATGGGGGTCTCCAGGACGCTGCCCCCATTTCAGGAGCTGCATGCATTCTCATCACCAGTGGTCATGTTACAGGACTTGTCGTAGATCTTAAACATCACTCCTGGGGCCCCTCATCAATATATGACCGGAGCTTCTGGGCTCATGGGTTAGTTTCTGAGGACCTGGGTGAGAATGAGAGCAGAGAGGAGATCCTGACCTGATTCAGGCAGGAACCACTACTTTAACTCTCCCTGCTTTATGAAGGCATGGCCCAAGGAAGAGACCTAGGGATGCTATGTTTAACAAAGGAAACAGAGCGGAGTGAAATCCTGTTAAGACACATCTTCAGCAGGGACAGCTCCCAGGTCAGGCTCCAGAGTACAGAAATCCCTCTTTGTGCACCCGCCCAGCTGCTTCCTCCTCTGGGCAAGACTTTGTTTCTCAGGCAGTTCAGCGTCACCAGAGAGAAACACACTGCACTCACCAGAGAGAAACACACTGGCACATGCATGACCAGGTTACCCACAAGGCCTGTGGCAGCGGGAAATTGTCACGAAAGTAAATCAAAATCAGGCTGAATAAAGGAAAACACAGTACCATTCTTTGTTGCAATATAATATACTTAACATAAAATTCATCATTTTAGCCATTTCTAAGTGTATAGCCCAGTGGCGTGAAGTTGCACATTGTTGAGCACCATCACTGCTAAAGCACATAACCTACACACATTGTAAACATCAAAGTTTGAGCATAATTCATGTCTATTGAAGTTAGTCTTATAATAATATTTGCCTTTATACAAGGAGGTTTGAATTGTTAACCCATTACAAATCTAACTTCACAAGGAAATTTTATCACTAAAAGAAATTATTGCCTTCAATTTTTGAACAATTTTATAACAGCCTGACTTGTATATACTCTTAGAAGATATAAAAAGTTTAGAAGTCAAGGACAAGTCACTGCAGTGTCTAATACGGTAGCCACTAGCTACGTGTGCCATTGAAATTTAATTCTAATTGGTTAAGATTAAATAAAATGAATAACTAAGGTTTTAGGTTGCACCAGTCACATCTCAAGTGTTCAATAACTACATGAGGCCAGTGGTCTCCCTATTTCACAGCACAGATAAAGATCACATCCATCATCACAGAAAGTTCTACTGGACAGCTCTGGGCAGGCGTTCTGTAAGGAAGCCTAATAGTTAAACATAATCGAAGGCTACTCTAAAATGACAGAACATTTTCACCCTCCTCTGCCATTCTTTGTGACTGGATTCTCTGGACCTGACTTTATCTTCTCAAGGCAAAAATATAGAATTGCTTTCCTGTCTTTTCTAGATTACTGCTTCACAGAACCTCTGCTTGTAGCTATGTCATAGGGACTAATCACAGTCCCCTATAAGCAAGGATAAAGATACTACATATTTTCTGTCTGATATACAATTCCCTGAGCACCCAACATGTGGGTGTTCAGGGAATTCTGGTGCTGGCCTGAAAGAGCAGGAGTGGGGGCCTTCTTTATCCGGAGATACATCATGGAAAATGCATCTCAGATGGAGCCTCTGACTCCTATACAAATAGACCTCTCCCACTGCAACTTCAGAGTTTGTTATTTGTCTGTTTCTAATGTAAGCTGGCATGTCCATGGAAAGAGTAAAATGTGAAAGACGCCCCCCCCCAATTTTTTTTTTCTACCACTGGGACCTAAAAAGTCTTGAGAAATGTTCTTTCTCTGAGTTGGATAGAGACTCCAGCATTAGAAGTCCTTGATGTGGAAGAAACCATGAAGCCAAGAAAATCTACTCAATTTATCTCAGTCCTAAGTGATTTCTGCTCGGTTAGGACACTTTAAGATATAGGCATACCTTGAAGATAGTGTGGACTTGGTTTCAGATATGGTCTGCAATAAAGTGAGCAACACAAGGTTTTTGGTTTCCCAGTGCATATAAAAGTTATGCTTACACTATACTATAGTCTATTAAGTGTGTAATAAAATCACATATTTTTAAAAATAGTATATATTTTAAATATATATATTCAAAGTACAATAAATACATAATCCTAATTTTAAAAATAGTTCATTGCTAAAAAATGCCAGTGATCATTTGAGCCTTCAGGGAGTCACTATTTTTATGCAAAACCATAACACTGTTAATGGTGGCTGACTCCTTGGGGTGGCGGTTGCTGAAAATTGGGGTGGCTCTGGCAATTTCATAAAATAAAACTATGAAGTTTGCCACATCAACTGACTCTTCCTTTCATGGAAAATTTCTCTATAGCATGCAGTGCTGTTTAACAGCATTTTACCCACAGTAGAACTTTCAAAATTGGAGTCAATTCTCTCAAATCTTGCCACTGCTTTATAAAATAAGCTTTAAATCCTTTGATGTCATTTCAACAATGCTCACAGCATCTTTACCAGGAATAGATTTCACCTCGAAACTGCTTTCTTTATTCATCCATAAGAAGCAGCTCTTCATTTGTTCAAGTTTTTCATGAACTTGCAGCAATTCGGTCCCATCTTCAAGCTCCACTTCTAATTCCAGCTCTCTCAGTATTTCCACCACATCTGCAGTGACTTCCTCTATTGAAGTCTTGAACCCCTCAAAGCCATCCCAAGAAGGTTGGGATCAACTTCTTCCAAACTCCTGTTAATGTTGCTATTTTGACTTCCTCCTGTGAATTATGAATGTTCTTAATGTTATCTAGAATCCTTTCTCCAAGACTTTCAATTTACTTTTTCCAGATCTATCAGAGGAATCACTATCTATGGCAGATATAGCTTTACAAAATGCATTTCTTAAATAATAAGATGTGAAAGTCAAAATCACTCCTTGGTCTGTGAGCTGTAGAATAGATGTTGTGTTCGCAGGAATGAAAACAGCATTAATCTCCTCGTGTCTCCGTCACAGCTCTTGGGCGATGAGGTGAATTGTCGATGAGCAGTAATACTTTGTAAGAAATATTTTTTTCTGAGTAGTAGGTCTAGCAGCAGGCTTAAAATAGTCAGTAAGCCATGCTATAAACAGATGTGCTGTCATCCAGGCTTTGTTATTTCATTTATAGAGCACAGGCAGAGTAGATTTAGAGTATAATTCTTAAAAGTCCTGGGATTTTCTGAATGGTAAATGAGCACTGGCTTTAACTTAAGGTCACCAGCTGTATTAGCCCCTTACAAGAGTCAACCTGTTCTTTGAAGCTTTGTAGCCAGACATTGACTTCTCTCTAGCTATGAAAGTCCTAGATGGCATCGTCTTCTAATAGAAGGCTGTTTTGCCTACATTGAAAATCCATTGTTTGGTGTAGCTGAAGAATTTTCTTAGCTAGATCTTCTGAAGAATTTGCTGCATTTTTATGTTATGGAGACAGCTGCTTTCCTTACGCCTCATGAACCAACCTCTGCTAGCTTCCAGCCTGTGTTCTGCAGCGTCCTCACCTCTTTCAGCCTTCAAAGAACTGAAGAGAGTTAGTGTTTTGCTCTGGATTAGGCTTTGGCTTAAGGGAATGTTGTGGCTGGTTTGATCTTCTATCCAAGCCATTCCATATCAGCAATAAGGTGGTTTCGCTTTGTTATCATTCCTGTCCTCACTGGAGTAGCACTTTTACTTTCTTTCAAGACCTTTTGCTTTGCATTCACAACTTGGCTGTTTGACACAAGAGGCCTAACTTTTGACCAATCTCGGCTTTTGGCATGCCTTTCTCACTAACCTTAATCATTTTAAATGAAAGATATGCAACTCTTCCTCTCACTTGAACTCTTAAAGGTTATCATAGGATTATTAATTGGCTTGATTTCTATGTTGTTGTGTCTCAGGGAATAGGGAGGCCCAAGAAAAGGAAGAAAGATGAGGGACTGGCCAGTTGATGGAGCAGCCAGAACACCCACACAATATTCATTGATCAAGTTCACCGACTTAAATGGGCATGGTTCATGGCACTCAAAACAATGACAATAGTAACATCAAAGATCATTGATCGCCAGGTTCGGTGGCTCAGCCTATAATCCCGCGCCTTTGGGAGGCTGAGGTGAGTGTATTGCCTGAGCCCGTGGGTTCGAGACCCGCCTGGGCAGCGAGACCTCATCTCTACAATAAATCAAAAAATCAGCCGGGTGTGGTAGCGCGCCTGTAATTCCGGCTACTCGGAAGGCTGAGGCGGAAGGATCGCTGGAGCCCAGCGGGTCTAGGCTGCGGTGGCCGGAAGCGGCCACTGCACTCCAGTCTGGGTGCAGAGTGAGACTCCAACTCAAAAAAAAAAAAAAGATCACTGATCACAGATCGCATAACAGATATAATAAGAACATTTGCAACACTGCAAGAGTTACCAAAATGTGACACAGAGACACAAAGTAGGCACATGCTGTTGGAAACATGGGGCCCACAGACCTGCTTGATGCAGAGTTGCCACAAACCCTCAATGTGTAAAAAAAAAAAAGGAAAAAAAAATATATATTATATATATTCAAAGCACAATAAAGCAAAGCACAATAAAACAAGGTATGCTGTATGCCAGTACTAAAGGGACACAGCTTCTGCGGAGGGGACAGATGTCAGAGACATGGTCAACTACAGTTTAGAAACTGCAAAACAATGTTTAGGCAGTTAGCTAAATTCTCCCTTCAGATCTAGAAGGGCAGTGGGAAAAGGCAAGAGAAATGGAAGAACACTTAGAAAAGATCTGTGCCCGCCTGGGCAGGTGAGACCTCATTTCTACAATAAATCAAAAAAATTAGCCGGACGTGGTAGTGTGCACCTGTAGTTCCAGCTACCTGGAAGGCTGAGGTAGAAGGATTGCCAGAGCCCAGCAGGTCGAGGCTGCGGTGGCCGGAAGCGGCCACTGCACTCCAGTCTGGGCGATAGTGAGACTCCAACTCAAAAAAAAAAAAAAAAAAGATCTGAACAACAGGACATTTTACAACTCTCCAAATTGTTCTGGTCCCATGGATGGACTCCACCTATGACTTAGACCCAAGCTTTGGCTGCTACAGTTGCCTAAAGGAAACTGCGATGCCTAAAATCCTCTCCCACTAAATACCATACCATATTTTCTGGTCCTGTCCTGCTCTTTGCCTATCCAAGCCAGCACCCCCATTTGGAGCTACCATTCTGGAGTACTGCATACATTTATACAGTCAGAACTCTGTGGAGAAGGATTCCTGAGGCCTGCTTCCTCAAGGGCAATACATTGGCAGATATTTGCAGGAGCAACCTTCAGCTGCCTGCAACTGGGGTTTTGAGGGCAGGGGTGCATTTAGGTTTAGCAGAAGCAATATACATGTTTAAGGCCAGAAGTTATAGGATTGAATACTAAGTCAGATCCTCAATAGCTATTTGGGGTCTTGTACAATTTATTTGACATCTCTATAAAATGGCAAAGAAAAAGAAAGCTTCCTCTAAGTCACCAACTCCTTATCTAGAAATTAGTCAATCAAAAGAAGAAGAAGGAGGAGAAGGAGGAGGAGGAGGAGGAGGAGGAGGAGGAGGAGAAGAAGAAGAAGAAGAAGACGACGGAAGAAGAAGAAGACGGAAGAAG